TGCTCACAGCCCTTTCCCTCCCCCTGCCCCTCCCCGCCCATCAGCTCCCTGAGAGTCACTTGCCATCACAGCCTTTCCCAACTTACTCATGTCTCTTCATTTCCATATGAATGGCGATTGCTATATGTAGGAGAAGACAGGATTCTGAAAGTAAAGCAAATGTATTTTTTATGATTTAAAGAACAGGAAGTATATGAAAACCAAATATATTTACTAAGTGAATTGCACTTTTCTTCAACCAATTTTTTTAGTGCCTGCATCCCTCCAGTGTCCACCAGCTCTTCAACTTTTTCCTTTTCCTGAAGCAAATTTGTGCCTCCCTTCCTAATTAGGAATACTCAGGCTTCTTCCCATCCTGGGTCTCCATTTCAATGATAACTAGGCTATCCTTTAATCATAGAAATACTTTCCTTTGATCTCTTTCTCTTTTTGACACACCTGGCATTTTATTACCTGCTTATGTTCTATCTGTATACAGTCTTTCCTCTTTGTCTCTTTGCTTCTATTACTCAGTCCATCTTTGAGCCACCATTGGCTAGGTGACACTGCCTAGTATAAGCAAAACTTCTTGCTTAATACCTCTCTCTTCTCCATTGATACTGCTTCAGTATACTGAACCTCCTGTAAAACTGGACAGCTGTAATGCACTACCCCAGCACATACGGGAATGAGCTTTATGTAAGGTTGTAGTAGAGAGCATACTGTGTGGAGAAAACGTACAATAGCAACTCACTTGTGATGTTTATCTCCTCCCTCCACAGGTGTACCATGTACTATGTAGTGATATCACAGTATATTGTGAAGATTCATTATGTCAGCATTCCCCACAGCTGCATGGAAATGCATAGAAAGTGCAGACAACACCCTAGGAAGCCAGGAGCGTGCTGCTATCTAGTAGGTTAAAAGAAATGCCCCAAAGCCAAATGTTAGGCAGATCTGCTCTTGAATTTTGACCCCAGTATTTTTGTGGCCTTGTGTAAGTCATTTAACTATGGTCTACACTACAAACAACCTTAAATCAACATCCCTAAGCAATGTACGTATTCCAACCTAAGTCCCACTGTAGAGAATGCTATATTAGTAGGAGAGTTTACCTGTCAGTATATCTTCTGCCTCTTGGGGAGGTGGATTAATTATGCCAGGAGATAGAAGCTAAAATGCTGCTTGGCATTTAGCTTCCACACAGACTACTCAGCTGAAAATAGTCCAAGCTCACAGGTATTAGGATAGGCAGCGTTCAGAAGAAGTTCTGTATAGAGTATGCTGCTAGCTGGCTAGAGGAACATCGCAGGATTCTACTTAGTTTATGGCATGATGCAAGCAAGATATTTGACTTCAGTTCTTGTGCTCTTGTCCCCACTAGCTATAAAACTATATGTGAGCAGCTGGAAACATTGACTGGACAGAAGAACAAGTCCTAATGAATCAAGCAGCTAAAGACAGAATATTGCAATATCAAGGATGATAATGGTGCCTCTGGAACTCCCCATCTTCATGTCTCTTCTATGAAGCATTAAACTGGGGAACTATATTAAGCACTGAGCCTACAAAGTGCATGAAGAGCTGTGGAGTGGAGATGGAACCCTTATAATTCAGTGATCCCAGGCATTTCCAGAGGAGAACCAGCCACTTGATGAAAAATAAGTGACCTGGCTAGAAGGTAACCAAAGAAATTATGCCAAAGGTGGGCAATAATTTTTGACGGCGTCACTCCAAGATTTTGGAAAGTGGTCGAGGGCCGCAGGGTATGTCTACACTGCATCCCTAGTTCGAACTAGGGATGCAGTGTAGACATACCCGGAGGGAGTTTGGATGAAGGAGGTTTTTGTGACCTAGGGCAAGGGACTGGAGGGCCAGAGTTTGGGGATGTGGCCTAGGATAGGAGATGATTGTGATCCGGGACAGGAAATTGGGGTGACAGATCTGGGAAGGGGTATGGGTGCAAGAGGGGGGCAGAGGGTTTGGGTATGTTGATTGGGTGCATTGAGTTGGGGCAGGAAAGGGCTGTGGTGACAGAAGCAGGCTGTGGCTAAGAGACTCACTTATCAGCTGCCAATTTAGCCTGCCTGACTGCAGAGCTTAAAATGTTTCCCTGCCTGGCTGGCCATGTGCTTCATGAATAATTGAGCCCAGGAGAGGAGGTGTGATTCTTCTTAGATTGCTGTTATTCCAACAAGCAGCTCCCATTGGCTGGTTTCTGCCACAAACCGGCTAATGCGAATGTGCTAGGGGCAGAGCGGCTCCTAAAACTTTCCCCCTCCCCTCCGATTTTAAAACAGAAATGGAGCCCTGCAGCTGCATTTCTGCATGGCGTGCGGGACTGCGGGGAACACTGAGGAGCCTGCCTGGGGCTCCCCACTGTCTCCATGGGCCAGATCTGGTGGTTTGGAGGGCTGGATTTGGCCCGCGGGCCATATTTTGCCCATGCTTGGATTATGATAATGTATCAGAAATACCACATCTTCAGTCTGTACTTGGAGGAGTTGTTTGGGGATGTCTCTGGAGAGCAGTCTGCTTGGGAATCTGCATCAGAGCAAGTGTTGGAGACTGGGTAAGTTTTTGCTGTAGTGTGTGTTTGTTATCAATATATGGATGGAAGGGGTTCCATCTTAGCATATGAAGTTAATACAAGTTATGGACTTGATGTGCTTCCATTCAGGGAAGAAACCATGCCATTTCCCTAATACTTCCTTGCATTGATATACTTCTTAGCATACATAGATGGCTATCCTTCACTGACTTGAATTGACATTCATGCTTCTACTTGGGAGCTTCCTGACCAGCTTGAAAAGCCATAGCTAATAACTAGACCACTCATAAGCCCCCAGAGAATGCAGGGGATATAGAAATAATATCAACTCAATTGTATATGTATATCTTAAAATGATATATGTGGTGGTCCTGAATTGACATAGTGATGTATGAATAGAATATGGCCCATTGATTTGAAAAGTATCATTTTCGAGTTTGAATTACTGCAACATCTTTTGTGGAGTGGGGATTATCCTTTGTCGCATGATGATGATGTGCTGCTTCTTTCCCATTTCAAGGTCCTTTCACTTCCCCAGGGCAAATAGCTGGCAGCAGGAGCTGTTGGGAATAGGGATCATATTTTTGGAAGCAAGGACCCATGAACTGATGGGAGATTTGCTAGAATAAAAGATGGCAGAGTTCCAGAAGAACCAGAGGAAGTAAGAAAAGGCAAAGATGCAATAAAAATGGAAAGAGAAGACCGGCTGCTCAGAGTAAGGCGAAATAGGTGAACATGTTCATAGAGTGTTGCTGCAGATTAGGGGGAGAGACAGAGCACAACAAAAGGAAAATTTTGACTAATTACTTACACTTATGGCTATGAGATTGCAGGTTTGAGTGCCTCCATTAGCACCTGTTCCTGTCCCACACAGAATCCCCTCTGCACTAATATGCCCTGCAGATTGTCCAGACGCCTTCTGGATTGTTCAAAGGCTGCATAATGACAGAGGCAATGATCTGACAAATGAATTCTGATACAGACAAATGTATTCTGTGCACGTGATACAGACAAATGTATTCCGATACAGCATGATACAGACGCTGTATTGACACACAATACAGACAAATGTATTCTGTGCGGCTACATCTACACTGGCCCCTTCTCCGGAAGGGGCATGCTAATTTCCAACTTCGGAATAGGGAAATCTGCGGGGGATTTAAATATCCCCCGCGGGATTTAAATAAACATGGCCGCCACTTTTTTTCCGGCATGGGGAAAAGCTGGAAAAAAGCGTCTAGACTGGCACGATCCTCCGGAATAAAGCCCTTTTCCGGAGGATCTCTTATTCCTACTTCAAAGGGTGATAAAGACGCTGTATTGACACACGATACAGACAAATGTATTCTGTGCACTCCTCTAATCTAAGGATTAGATTCAAAATGCACCAAAAAGGCCAGAGAAAAAGGAATCAGGAAACCAGGAAATAACTGAATATGCCATTAGGGAACATGGATTTTAAATGGTTTGGCACTAGTGTAGCCAGACAGGAACCCCCCTGTAACATCCATCTTTGCTTTCCTGGAGCATGCAGGGCACACAGAGCAGTAAAAACCTTGGAGCAGGAGGCTCAGGATATGCAGGCTGCTGTGACCATGAATGACTGTAAACTGAGATACGCCAATTGCTGACCAAGAGGCTGCCAAGGAGTGCCCTTGACTAAAACCCATATTGATACGAACACACAGCCGTCCGCAGGGGGAGGAATCTCTCACCCAGTAAAAAAATGTCTAGTACTCACAATTTAGTTCTCTCTCTTGCAAGTGTAAATTAAGTTAAAACTTTCTTGTAAGAACTGGTGCCACAGAAATGGACCAGTACAATTTGGCATCTTAGCTAAGAAAGAGGATACGGGCCCCTATGGGTATAAAGATGGGTCCAGCAGCACATTTACTCTGAGAGTCAATCTACCATCTATCTGCTGGTTGGGTTAGGTGTTTGACCTCCCGAGGTTCCACGGGGACGCCCACCTTATATTCGTCTTTCCTAGGAATTGAGGGACCGGCCCAGGCTTGACTTGCTGGAGTCGAGAGGCACAGAAGGGGGTAAAAATTATACCTGGATGTGGTCCTTTGTCTTAAGTGTACACATAGACTTAGAGCTCTTTAAAGATTAAGCTGTCACTTGGTACCATTATTTCTATATTCTATTTTTATTTTCTTTGTAACCATTTTTAAGATCTATATTTGCTAGCAGCTAAGAAATAGAGCAATCGCCATTTTAACCATATGATTTATAACCATATGATTTATAAGCTTCTTTAATAAACCTGTAACTGTTTAAGTTTTAACCTGACTCCTTCAGTTGCTGTAACAGAACCAAGCACAATTTAAAAGAACTTCAGCCGGTCATAAGGGACAGGTATAGGAAGAGCTTGGGCGTTTGGATCGTGTCACTCCCAGGTGACAGATCCGTTGGGGCATCTCTCAGTCTTCCCTAGACTGCCCGCTGAGAAGGGATCCTGTATCCTAACAGCTGAAATCTGAGCTGTAATAAGCTCTTCCTATAGACTCTAGGGAGTCTGTCAGCATGTTGGCTGCCCTCCGCGACGGGACCCCAGTCCTAGCGGTAAAGGCACAGATGTTAAAGTCTCGCGCACACACACTGCCCTGACCGTCTGCTGACACTGGGTTTGTTTGTTGTGCAGAATGTTTTGATGTTATGTAGTCTGCCTCTTTAGAGCTAGCATTAGTATGGAAATAGGAGTGTAAAATCAAGTGTTTGAATTTGGACACAGGGTTATAATAGTCTTATTACATGTTACATTGTGGCTATGTCTACACTGTAGGCTTCTTGTGCAAGAACTGTTTTGTGCAAGAGTTCTTGCGCAAAAGGTCTTGCGTAAGAGTGCGGCCACACTGCCATATGCTTTTGCGCAACAGAGGTGCTTTTGTGCAGGAGCGTCCATGGCAGTGTGGACCTTCTCTTGCACAAGAAAGCTCTGATGGACATTTTAGCCATAGGGTTTTCTTGCTCAAGAAACCCCTGTTGCCCATCCACACTGTCTTCCTGCTCAAGAACTTGTGCTCAAGAGGGCTTATTCCTCGTGGGGAGAGGAATAACTCTTGCACAAGAAGCACTCTGTTCCGATGCTTTACTGTAAATTTACTTGTGCAAGAACACACGTGCAGCGTAGACTCAATATAAACAGCTGTTCTTGTGCAAAAAGCCTGCAGGGTAGACATAGCCTACGTGCCACAGATTTTAATGAATGTCATAGCTATTCTCATAGCTTTCCTATTGTGCCAGTGGTCTCCTCTGCCATGGGCCCCTCGACACACTCCTGGCCTTGCCACCAGACCTTCTTTGCCATGCGCTCCCCCTGCCATGCTCCCAGCCTTGCAGCCAGAAACTCCCTATCCCTGCACTCTGTGGTCCAACATCCAAGGTACATAAGCAGTATTAATAAAATGTGTAACAAACCTGCATACATTTCATGGGTTTAAAGCACTGTGTCGGCAAACCCAGAAATGCTTATTGGTACAGGCCAGTTAAATATTTGTTTAAATTAGTTTTACGTCTCTTTCTTATGACAAAATATGCTGTCAAGTGATTTCCTAACAATGGAAATACCTCTGG